TCTGGCTAAGCCACTGTATTCTCCCTTTCATTGTAGTCTGCTGTTACCCTGAAGAGTGTATTCTTTTCCTACTTTTAATTGGCCCAAACTGGCTCTGCAAAGCATGTTTCTTTTCCTACCTTTAATAAATGTAAAACCTCACAAACTTTAAAACAAATTTCTGGCTATAGTGTACAATATAATTTTGGAAGACATTATGTGATATGTAGTGAATAGGGGTGTCTGAAAGGTCTTTGGAAAAATATCTCTTGCTAATGTCGAGGGTCTCCTATGTGAATCTCTCTCTGTCTCTGACAGGGTCTTGCTTTGTGAGCCTCTTGCCTCAGCCTCCCAACTGCTGAGATTACAGGGGCGTGAACATGAATCTCTTTGGCTACTGTTTTTTTTTTTTTTTTAAAACAACTATTTTGGGCAAACAAGTACAGTCCTGTCCTTCTAGTTTTAGTCCAACACACTGGCTCAGTGACTCATAGCACATGCAATGCTTATACCAGGCAAGGTGGGAAGTCGGAAAGCTCTTTGCATGTTTCTTAAGAACGCTTGCCAGCCATGAAGGAAAGGTTTTGGTTCTTGATGTACGAGAGGAACTTCTGCCATTTTTAACCAGAATGCAAGAAGCATCCTAACAATCCACCCCTATTCCCTATTCGTACAGTGAGAACATTCACAGCAGTGCCACCTGGTTTTGATCTGCATATGTGTGCAACGAAGAGAGGTTAACTACAGATAAGAGGTAGGAGGTGTGGCATAACCTCATGCCAACATTTTAAAAAGCTCAAGAAACCTGTCTGATCTTTGCCTAGTAAGAAAGCACAGTCTGGCAGTAAATAACCTTAACGCGTGCTACTGTGACAGAGAGAGACCATGTAAAAAACTGGAGAGTTGTCGAGGATTAATTGGTTAGCTGTGGGTGCTTCTATATCTCAGAGCGACTAGAATGTGTTGTGACAATTGCCACTTGTTTTGTCTTGAGAGTCCTGCTCTCCCAAAATTCTAGTACTTCCTGACACTGTATCCCAACTCTGACCCAGAGAGCCATTGGAGTTAACATGCAGGCCACACCCAAGCAAAGACAGGGTTAATGGCCCTGGGTTAGACTTGCTGTGTGAGGCTCTCGTGAGGGAAACCCTGGACCCAGGAACAGATGCCCTGGTGAGTAGGTCTCTGCGCAGCATGAGGAAGAACTACCGAAGACTCAGAACTGTCAGAAAATGTGACAACGCTTTTGAAGTCCATTAGGTTTGTTATGGCTTGTGTTTAGAGGCCCCAAAGCCTCATGCTTTTTCAGAGGTGGCTAGATCTAGGGTGTGTGATGATTGGGACAGGGCTGAGGATACTAGGATTAAGGGCGTGAGTACTACCCACCCTAAGGGCTCTGGATAAGATAAAAAGGGCAGAAAGACACTGCGAATGATTTGTTGCTTTTGCTACCATGTGAACTGTTTCTCTTCTGTAATGCTGCTCTGCCATGAGCCACTCTGCTTAGGTTCCAGCCGATTATGGACTGAAACCTCTATAAAGTGAGCTAAATAAACCTTTCCCCTTCTAACTTTAGGTGTCAGGTATTTTGTCTCAGCAACAAGAAAAGTAACACAAGGTTGTTTACAATTTTTCAACTATGACGAGTTCTGCCCTCAATATCCTTGGAAAATAGCTTTGCGTACTTGCTCAGATATATTGTGCTGGATAGAATTCTAGAGGTAAGATGTTCTCTTGAAAGGTATATGCATTTTGGTTTTTTGTTCGTTTTTTTTTTTTTTTTGTTACCAGGGATCGAACTTGGGACCTTGTGCTTGTGCATTTTGGGTTTTATAGAAGCTGCTTGTTGCCTTCCAGAAGGTGACTTCAATTTGCACCCCACACGTAGCCCACATAGCCCACAAGCGTGGGATATTCTCAGCCTTCGGCACTGTGGCCGATGTGACTGGTAATATTTCCAGGGTGGTTAGCTGCACTCAGAAATGCAGGCGTGGGACAGAGGATAAACAGCATTGGGCGGGATGGGAGTGTCAGCGACCGATGGAGCTCCTGTGAGCGTCACAGGCCCAGGTGTTGGAGATAAGACGAACCCAAGAGAGGCCCCCGTGTTCGGAACAGGGGAGACAGACAGGCGGGAGCACTGGAGCATGACAGGGACTAATGAGAAGTAAAAATGAAACGCAGCAAATCACTACCAGTGGGCTCAGCTGTCGCTGCAGTCTCCAGTCACTGGAATTATGGATCAGATCTCTGCATTGTGCCTGCCAAGGAAGAAGGCAGACACCCAGTGAGACCTGACCTGTCCACACCGGTCAGATGCCTCCTCAGCACAAGGAATATGCTTAGGCATTTGTGTACCTAAAATGATGAGCTTGAAATAGTACATTTCTGGAAGTTTTGAAGTCTACTTTCTTTGGGGGCCCCGGGGATTAAAGCTAGAACCTTGTGCATGCCAGGCTGTGTTCTCCACTGAGCTACGTCCCCAGCCCTTGAAATCTGAAGAGAAAACCTAGCACAAAATGTAATTCATATTTTTCTAGCTACTTTAATAAATGTAATATTATATTGTTAATGTGGAAGTTTATTTCCTTATAAAATGATCATATATGGTGTTTAAATTTACAGTGGGGTTTATTTATATGCTGCTAATCATTATATTTCCCACTCTCTCTCTCTCTTTTTTTTTTCAATTTAGAGACAGGGTCTCCCTAAGTTGCCCTAGCTGAATTTGAACTCGTAATCCTCCTGCCTCAGCCTCCCACAGTGTTGGAAATACAAGCATGCACCATTATGGCTGGCTGAACTTATTTTTTCTTTTCTTTTTTTTTGAGACAGGTCTCACTATGTAGTTGAGACTGACCTGGAACTCACTATGTAGCCCAGGCTGGTCTCGAACTCACAGCGATCCTCTTGCCTCAGCCTCCCAAGTGCTGGGATTACAGGCATGTGCCACCATGCCTGGCTGAACTTATTTTTTCAATGCTTTAATATTTGTAGTTAAAGTCTGCTGATCTTAAATCCACACTGTAGCTTTGTCAATTAGAAGTGGTACAATTAGAAATAATGATCAATATTTAAGGAGTAAAACAGCCAGTATGTTTACAGACTTTATGTCTGACCCTGGGGTGTGGGCTACTAAGAAGAGAGTAGATTCAGAGGAAGGGAGAAGCTTTTATTTGTAGAAAAATTGCTGCAGACAACAGTTTCGAGGCTGAGGCAGGAGGATCGCTGTGAGTTTGAGTCCAGCTTGGGTTGCACAATGAGTTGCAGACCAGCCTGAATTAGGGTGAGACTCTGTTTCAAAAAACCGAAAAGAAAAAAAAAAGAAAAAAGAAAAGAAAAGAAAAATTGCTGCAGACAAAGAATTCTCTTCCTTCCTGAATCTACTGATATAACTTATTGCAACTTGCCTGTTGAGATTCACTTGGAAATAAATTGAACTTGATCTGGTTCCCCGTAAACTGCCTCTGAAAGCAGGCCTCGGGCTCAGTTCTGTCTCTTTCATGTGTCCATCCCTCCGTCTACACAACTACCACCTGCCCATTGCCAGTAACAACTAATTACAGAGTGTTTTGCTATGTGCCAGCTACTGACCCAGGAGTTTTGCTTGCATTATCTCAAATAATCTCAACGATGCTGTGAGGTAACTGCTGGCACCTCCCCTTTAAACTGGTATCTAAGGGTTTCCCAGGAGTGTAGGGCTTACCATAGGACCCAGCAGCGCCACCGACAGTTGAATGTCTGCAAGAATTGAAAACAGGTACTTAAATAGAAACTTGGACAAGGATTCACAATAGTGCAAAGGTGGAAACAGCCCAGTGCCTATCAGTAGTTGCACGGCTACACTAAATATTGTGTATCTGCACAGTGCTATATTATGCGTGTAAAGGAAGGGGATTCTGGTTCAGGGTACAACATAGATACACCTTGACAACATCATTGCTAAGTGAGAGAAATCAGACCCAAAGGGGTACACATTCTAGGATTCCATTTATGTAAGATATTCAGGTAAATCCATAGAGACAGGAAGCCGATTAGTGGGTGGTTGCCAGGGGCTGCTTAATGGGTTGGGGGTGTCGGATGGGATGATGAAATACTTTTGGAATTAGATAGTGGTAATGGTTACACAACATTGTAAATGTGCTCAGTGCTACCGGATTGTATACTTTGAATGTTTAAAAATGGTAAATTTTGTTATATGTGTTTTACCATGATTTAAAGAAAATGTGACTTGAGGCTTAGAAAAATGAAGTGATTTACCTAAGGTTATCTTACAGCTGATGTATGACACCTAGCTCTATGGTTCATGCTGGGTTCTTTTTTGGCACAAGGTCTCCCTATGTAACTCAGACTGGCCTTGAACTTGTGATCCTCCTGCCTCAGCCTCCCTAAGTGCTGGGATTACAGACCCGTGTCACCTTGCCTGGCTGGTTCATGCTTTTTATTTTTAATTAACATATTACAAAAAAATATTGGTGATTGAGTCCAGCATCTCATTCATGTTACCCAAGTGCGCTACCACTGAGCTGTATCCCCAGCCCTTTTTATTTTTGGAGATAGTGTCTTGCTAAATTACCTGGGCTGACCTCGAGCTTGAGATCCTCCTACTTCAGTCTCCCAAGTAGTTGAGATCATAGATGTGAGCCACCATACTTAACTTTTTTTCGGTACCGGGGATCAAACTCAGGACTTTGTGCTTGAGAAGCAGGCAGCAGAACCACTGAGCTAAATCCCCGGCCATACTTAACTTTTTTATTTTTAAATTTTAATTAACTTACAGGGAAAAGAACACACAATTTATTACATGCCTAATGCACAAGTATTAGAGTCCACGTTTTTAATAAAAAACAGTGAAAACTTTATTTTGGGCTATGTGGGAGGTTCAGACCATGTTGATCATTGTAGCTGCCTCCCACCAACACAGGAAAGGTCTGGGAAGGCAGCAGTTGGAGCCCAAGAAAGGGCCACAGCCGGGAGATGAGAGGGTCACCGTGTTTCTCAGACATTCCTGTCTCTTGCAGAGGGAGGACCCAGGACTATGGCTGCTGCTCCTGATCTGGAGTTGGAGAGCATGAATCTCAGTATGGAGAGAGAGAGAAGAGAGGAGCTAGAGGGAGAGAAGATGGGAGAGGGCGGGGACAGTAACTACCCTCCCAAGAGCAAAAAGGTCCACAGGATCGTCTCAAAGTGGATGCTTCCTGAACCGGTCCGAAGAACGTACTTGGAGAGAGCGAACTGCCTGCCTCCGCCCGTCTTCATCATCTCTGTCAGCCTGGCCGAGGTGCAGGCGGGGGTGGGGGGGTGTGCAGGCCTGTGTTCCCGGGGG